TCCACCAAAATTTTAATTGCCAATTCACCCCCTCTTGGTTATTTAATCGATCGATTAAATCAACAAATAATTTCCTCAAATAATACTTCTTCATTTAAGAACTTGCAAACAAGTCCCTAAAGTTTTGGAACATTTTGAATTCCACCATCTAACCATTAAAATGAATTCTTTTAGAATTCTTCTCAACATTTCCAATTTATTCAAAATGGTCTCTTACCATTTAACTTCAATTCAAATCATCCAAAAATATACTCAAGATTTAAACATTACTCTTCGTCTTCTAATCCATTTCAACTTAAATTCTAAAATTTCCATATTCAGACAACTTGCACTACCTTTAAAGAATCAATATTTTGTATTGATATACACACTGGAATTTAATTTCGTGTCTTCCGTTAAAAACTAGAATCGCATATAAATCTATCCATATAAATAAATCCTTCTAATTATTTTTGTATAATTTATGTCGAATTTTCAAAGTTGACCGACAGAATCTGTTTTGTGCAGAATCTGCTGCCCGATTTTCTGACGTTTCCTCAGTTAAAAATTCATATCTTTTTGTATACACCTTGAAATTGATCCCCGTTTGTTTTAAACAAAACTAGATTGATATAATAACACAAATATATAAAAATAACCTCCAAATCATTTTTATATAATTTCTGGTGAATTTTCAAACTCATTGCCAGATTTAAAATCTAAACTGTTTTCATTAACTTCATCCTTAGGTTCTTCATCAATTCTTACAACAATTTCTTTAAAATCACTTAACTTTTCATAACCCCTAAAACACAAGAAATCTTCATTCCCTTCATAAACTCAAGATGAACTTGAACATAAACCCTAGTGATATTCATGTCAAAACGTAGCGAATTGAACGTAGAACATTTTTCCTAACTACACCGAAGTCTAATTCTCAAGAAAATAGCTTCAAAAATGAAAATAAATTTTTTTTACCTTGAAGAATCTAAGTTTCGGTGGAGAGCATGCTACTGAGATAAAATGTTCAGCTTTCTTGAGTGTTCTAATTATAATTATCTTAACACTTGGCATAAACATAATAAAATGAAATTTTTTATTCAATTTGATAGGAAATTCCATTTTTTCCATTAATGAAACTTAAAAATTACCAATTACCATTGTCATCTTTTCCAGTTAAATATTCCTTGGTCAAATATGAATCAACTTGACTTTGACTTTCGAAATTGACCATGCAATTTTCAAAATTTGCATTTAGTCACTAAAATTCCACTGTTTCAATCAAATCTGAAAAATTGCACAATTCTGAGGCAAATCTCTCTGATCTAAAATATTAAAATAATATTTACAACCATTTACTAACACCCTTAATTTTTTTGTAAAGTTCTGATTCGATCCGAATATTCGATTTCAATACCGAACTTTACTACTTTACAGCTTTTAACACAAATCTCGTACCAAAAATCTGATTCCCTCTAAAATCTCTATTTTAATTCAAACTTTTCATTTACAGGCTAAAATATATAACTTTTAAATATTACAATACCACTCCTTAAACTTTTGAAAGTTTATACTTTAGCTACTAAACTTTCAAAACTTATATTTTAGTCACTAGTTAAAATTTGGGGTATTACAATCCCTCCCCCCTTAAAAAATTTGTCCTCAAATTTTCTTTGCGTATCTACATACCTGAATTAAATAGATGAGGAAACTTTTTCTTCATGTATTCTTCTCGTTCCCTAGTTGCTTCCTCAACTTTATGGTTCCGCCAAAGAACTTTTACTAATGGAATCGTATTATTTCTCAGTTCTTTGACTCCATGTGCTAAAATCTTTACTGGTTCCTCTTCATATGATAAATCCGGTTGAATCTCAATTTCCTCCGGTGTAATCACATGTGAAGGATCTGATTGATACCTTCAAAGCATCGATACATGAAATACATTATAGATCTTATCCATCTCTGGAGGTAACGCCAGCTGATAAGCTACTGGTCCAACTCTCTTTATAATTTCATATGGTCAGATAAATATTGGACTCAATTTTCCTTTACGCCCGAATCTCAGAATCTTTTTCCAAGGTGACACTTTAAGAAATACTTTATCACCTTCTTGATATTCAATCTCTTTTCTTTTTAAATCAGCATAAGATTTCATTCTATCAACAACTATCTTGAGATTATCTTGAATTACTTTTACTTTATCTTCCACCTCCTTAATCAGATATGGACCAATTACATCTCCATATTTTAATTCATACCAATTCAGTGGCGTTCGACATTTCCTTCTATACAATGCTTCAAAAGGAGCCATTTTGATACTTGATAGATAACTGTTGTTATAAGCGAATTATGCTAAAGGTAAGTACCTTTCCCATGATCCTTTGAAATCAATAACAAACGCCCTTAGCATGTCTTCAAGTATCTGAATAGTTCACTCAGACTGACCATCTGTCTGAGGATGATAAGTTGTGCTGAAACTTAATCAAGTTCCCAATGCCTCATTAAAAGACTTCCAAAATCTTGAAGTGAATCTTGGATCTCTGTCTGAAACTATAGAAATGGGTACTCCATGAAGTTGTACTATTTCTCTGATATATAACTCAGCATACTTGTTCATAGAATAATCTTCTCGAACTGGAATAAAGTGTGATGTCTTTGTTAATCTATCCACTATCACCCAGATCAAATCTTTCTTATTGGGTGTCAAAGGTAAACATGTTACAAAATCCATGGTAACTCGTTCCCATTTCCACTAAAGAATGGAGATAAGTTGAAACAACCCTGAAGGCACTTGGTGTTCTTCTTTTACCTGCTGACAAGTTAGACATTTAGAAACAAACTCAGTGATATCTCTTTTCATACCTGTCCACCAATATCGACTCTTTAAATCTTGATACATTTTATTTCCTCTTAGATGCATAGTCAAAGGACTATAATGAGCTTCGATAAGAAGATCTTTCTTCAGTTCTTCATCATCTGGTATGCAAATTTGATTCCGATAATACAAATATCCATCAGACTTAATTTTAAAATCTGTCATTTCTTCTTTCTTTGCTTGCTCCATTCTATCTAGAAACTTTTTATCTTTATTCTAAAGATCATTGATTCGATCTAATAGGGTGGGACTCATTCTTAATACTGCAATTAATGCACCATCTTCTTTTATTGATAGTCGTGCATCTAACACTTTCATAGCATCAAAGGTGTTTTGGCTAAGTGAGTCAGCTACCACATTAGCATTCCCAGGATGATAATCAATAATCACGTCATAGTCTTTGACAAGCTCAATCCATCTCATTTTTCTTAGATTTAATTCTTTGAGTGAGCAGATATTTCAAACTCTTATGATATGTATCAATGTAGCATCGCTCACCATATAAACAGTGACGCCATATCTTCAGAGCAAACACTACAGTTGCTAGCTCCAAATCATGTGTCGGAAAATTCCGTTCATGCACCTTTAACTGCCTTGAAACATAGGCTACCACTTTATCTTCTTATATTAAAACACATCCCAAACCATTATGGGACGCATCACTATAGATTACATAATCATTTCCTGACTCTTTTTGTACTAATACCGGTGCCTTTGTCAAAATCTTTTTAAGCGTCTAAAACTTTCTTGACACTTTTTAGTCCAGAAGAATGGTACATATTTCCGCAGTAGCTTGGTAAGTGGAGATGCAATTATTGAAAAATTCTTCACAAATCTTCGATAATATCCAGCTAATCCCAAGAAATTTTAGACTTCAGAGATATTTTTCGGAGGTTTCCAATCCACTATCGCTTGCACTTTCTTGGGATCAAGTCTAATTCCTTCTGCTGAAATCACGTATCCTAGAAAGGCGAACTATGACAGCCAAAATTCACATTTTAACAATTTAGCATATAATTTTTTATCTCGCAACATATGTAGAACGATACGGAGATGTGCGTCATGCTCCTCCTTAGTCTTAGAATACACCAAAATATCATCAATGAACACAACCACAAATTGATCCAAATACGACTGAAATACTCGATTCATCAAATCCATAAATGTTGTTGGAGCATTGGTTAATCCAAATGGCATCACAACAAACTCATAATGACCACATCGGGTTCTGAAAGCTGTCTTGGGAATATCTTCATCCTTTATCTTTAGTTGATAATACCCTGACCGAAGATCAATCTTCGAAAATACTGAAGCACCCTTAGGCTGATCAAACAGATCATCTATCCTTTGAAGAGGGTATTTATTCTTCACTGTCACCTTATTCAGTTATGATAATCTATACATAATCACATCGAGCCATCTTTATTTTTAACAAAAAGTACCGGTGCTCGCCACGGAGATACATTAGGTCTAATAAAACCTCGATCTAGTAGTTCTTGTAATTGCGCCTTTAATTCTCTTGAGTTCCATTCGAGCCATCCTGTATAGAGCCATTGAAATAGGAGATTTATCCAGGAAAACTTCAATTTTAAACTCCATTTCCCGATTAGGAGGTAATCTAGGTAATTCATCAGGAAATACATATGGAAATTCTCGAACTGTCGAAATATCCTCCAATCAAATTTCAGATGTCCGAGTGTCAATTGCATTTGCTAAGAAAGTTGTGCAACCTTTTTCTATCATTTTCGTGGTCGTCACTGCTGATATCACATTAGGCAAAGATCTCGCTTTTTCTCCAATTACTATTATCTCGTTACCCTCAACATCTTTTATAAATAATCGCTTCATGCGATAATCCACCCAACCATAATGTCGAGATAACCAATCTATGCCCAATATAATCTCAAATTCATCAAACGGTAACTCCAAAAGATTCACCGGGAATACCCTTGAATCTTTATCAGACAATTTCTACTAATCCGTGTAACTCTAGCACTATGACCCAATGGACTTATAGCTATCATATCACTATTGATAGATTCTAACAGAATAATCTTATTTTTAACTAATTCCGAACTAACATAGGAATACGTAGAACCTGGATCAATCAAAATAAATATAGGCTCATCATAAAGATAGAAAGTACCTGCTATGATCTCTGGGTCATCACATTAGTCTTTATGTTATAAATTCTCACTGGAGCACGAACATCGGACTGGGAGGCTGTGTCTGAATATCACCTCCCTCTACCTCTTCCTCGACCACCTCTCTGAGGTATTGCCACTGATCTCTCTATCTGAACAGATCTCTCTCCTGTCATCGGGCAGTCACTGATATAATGACCAGGGTCTCCACAACGAAAATAAACTCCTGATCCTGCTCTATATTCACCATAATGATACTTCCCACATATCAGACATAATGGGTGTTGTCCCTGACACTGAGCTGATCTTCCAGCTCCTGTAGCCATTTTTTATACTTGACGCCCTTTTTCCTTAGCCTCGAATCCTCTACGACTAGATGCACCAACTTCTGATTTACTCTGATACTGATATCCTGAACCTCGACCTCTTTTAGATTGAGATGAGGATGATGCTCCTGATCTTTTAGACTGTCATCTATGCTCTATCAAAAAAATTCTCATTTTGTGCAATTTCTAAATCTTTTGCTTTGTTCACCACTTCTTGAAAAGTGGTTAAGTTCGCAGCCAACAGAAGTTCCCTAAGTCTGGGACAAAGACCTCGAATAAATTTCTGACATATATCTCTCTCGGTGAGAACCATCTCCGAGGCATAACGAGCAAGTTTATTAAACCCACATTCATACTCGTACACAAATTTACCACCCTGAATCAGATTAAAGAAATCTTGCTTCATATGGGTAATAAACTACTCACTGATATATTTCTTCTGAAAGACCTCTAAGAAAAATTACCACGTGATCTGATCTGGAGGAACACGTGTTGTCACATTCATCCACCATATACGAGCCTAGCCTCGTAGCAGTGAAACTACTCCATCCAATCTTTCATCCTCAGAACAATGAAGACTGTCCAACATTATTTTCACATTATTTAGCCACATATCTGCCACTATTGGGCCTTCATTTGCTTCACCTTTATATTTTGCAGCTCCTAAACTTTTTAATTCATTCGGAACTGATATTCTTGGAACTGGAGGGGGAGGTGGAGGCGTAGGAATGTGAGGTGCCGCAGCTAGCTAATATCTTGCCAATATGGCCTCAAGAGTTGCAAGAAAATCCCCTGATCTAAAGATTGCATCCCCTGCTGTGCCTGTGCTCCCTGCTGCTGAGGTTCATGCGCAACCTCATTACTACTTCCACTATCGGTTCCCTCAGGAACCTTCTCCTGTTCGGTAGCTCTTCTAGATCCCTCTGAATTCGACATCTAACCACAAACATATAATATTATGTTAGTAAGGTGCAACATCCAAAATAAATCATCAGACCATACCAGATCAATAATTTCGACATCCTAGTGGCATGTACATATTTCTGATATAATATAGGCTTGGTTTAGGCTAAGAATCGGCTAAACATGTAGCTCTGATACCAATAAATGTAACACCTTTAACCCGTATATGTCTCGATATACGAATCAAATATGTCATAACAACTTAAAAACATTTACTGAACTGAAATTCCCTAAAAATTTATTTCCTTTGAAAACACTCTTATTCTAACTTCTAAAAATACATCTTGAAGTATATCTCAACTATAATTTATTTCTTTGTCTCAGAAAAATAAATTAATTTTCTAAATCAGTAATTTTATTAAACCATGTATGTTCATGAAATCTTTTAAAAAACATAATAACATAATATATTCTTTTCATGCATATATATTGATAAAACTAAACTAAGTAAAATAAACTAAAATAGTTTTAGTTTACTATTACAAATTATTTAACATAACTACGATAAATAGAAATTATTGACATAATTATACATGTCACTATAAGCCAAAAGAAATATCAAAGATGTCTTAATGATACTGATGATATGTATGTCTTTCCAAAATGATGCTCCGATAGCTCCTTACTGATCATACTTATCCTTATTAGAACCTATGCATGAAAATCATCAAGCGCTAAGTATAACTTAGTGAGGCAGTAATTACCTAAGGTGAGAAAAATCTAAAAATATCATAAACATAAATAAAATAATTCAACTTAAAACATTAAACTAGCAAACCAACTTATCAAAGTCGATTTCTTCACTGAGGCCTGAAATTTCGTTTTAAATTATGAACTCATGAAAATTCTAATAAATCATATCTGATAAAATAAGCATATCATGCTTTTTGTCAACTAGAATCATTCACAACTTGCATATTCATTTTCATAGCCCACTTCATATTTATGAGAACATAAGATATGTGAGTAAGGTGCACACTATGCACAACATGGTATGATAACATTGATACACGAATGTACCAAAGTTGATATGATAACATTGATACACGAATGTACCAAAGTTGATATGATAACATTGATACACGAATGTACCAAAGCTGATAATGGATAAATACTCAACTAATGGCATGCCAAGTGTACCAACCGTTCTCACTATTACACACAATAGGATGACGTATCATAATAATTTCATCATAAAAATATCATGCTTGGGTAGTTCATACCCTAAATCATTCATAAAGCTGATATAGAATATTATAAAAAATATTATTTATAAACTTTAAAAATCATGCTGTAAACTGAAATGAGGTTGACTTATCGCAAGCCATCCTTGATCAAAATAATTAAATAAATAACCGCACTCACCTTTGCCTTACTATAGATCTTGTATATAATAATCCTAGTCACGAGCTTTGTCCTTCCTTTCGAATTGTTCAGATTGCTAGATTTAACGTAATCTGACAATACCAAAATTTAACACAAAAATTGTTTGAACTACATATTAGTATCGTATTAATATAAGCTCATTTTAACATTTTGTTGAAAACATTTTGATGTTTTGATATAACAAATTAAGTGTTATTGAATTTTAAGATTTTATAATCATTTTTAAAAGTATATTTGATTAAAATATTGAATATCAAAATATTACTCCAAGTTTTTCAAAGGCAATTTCAATCCTTACTAAAGTGTAAAATTGTGTTTTAAACATAAATTATTATTGAAACAATTTTACAAAGTATTTTGAACCAAAATTGAGTCAAAAATCAATTTTATAAAGGGATGTACCGATGTACTATTTGATGTATCGATGCACACGCTATTTTGAATGCATTTTGTGTACTGATGCATAGCCATGCATCGATGCACTCTTGAATTTATTGAAACATCAAATGCATTTTGTGTACTGATACACAAACCATGCATCGATGCACTCCTGGCTCTTTTGAAACATCTAATGTAATTAGTGTACTGATGCACCCAAAGTGTACCGATGCACTAAGTCTTATAACGGTCGAAATATTTGAATTTTACACATAGTATATCGATACACCTTGATGATGTACCGATGCACCCACGCTCCCAACCAGATTTTTAAATGATAATTACAAAATAACGGCTCTATTGACTTAACCAATGATCCCCAACGTTCAGAAGTGATTCAAGGTATATTTAAACAAGCTTAGAAGCCTTTGATCAACAACAATTAACAAAAGTAGCTAGAGAATCAAAGAGAAATCATCAAACCTCAAGGTTGAGCATTTCAAGCCAAATTTTCGTTCAATATTCATTTTCCTTTCAAGAACACTTATTGTGCTCGATTGTATTCATTTTTTAGTGTTCTTTCTTTGTTCTAGAATTGTGCAAACATATTGTCCTGTGAGGTTTTTCTATAAGTTTGTGAAATTTGTATTATTCTCTTTGGGAGAGAGTGTTCTCAAGAATTTGGGGAATAATTCTTGAGGGATTTGTAAGGTTACTCTTTGTCCTCAAAAGAAAGATAAATTAGTGAATTTGGGAAAATCCTTAGCTTGGATAGCTAAGGTAGTGAACATAGACTTGGTTGAGAAGTTGAACCACTTTAAATTGATGTGCAAACTTTTTCAATTTTCTACAAAAGCTTCAACCAAAATTTTTATTGCCAATTCACCTCCTCTTGGCTATTTCGTCGATCGATTAACTCAATACTTGGTATCAGAGCCTCACTCATTTGAATGTTTAATTGCCTCTTGAGTCGATTCGAGAAGATTTATATTGATATTCAAGTCATCAATGGCCTCCACTTCAAACGTCAAATTTGGTCTTGATTCAATGCCCGTCAACAAACCTCTTTTCTTCAGTGGAGCTAATTATGCTTATTGAAAGAATAGAATGAGATACTTCATTCAAGAAAGTGACATGGGAGCATGGAATATCATAGAAGATAGATACATCATACCTTCCACTCCTTTAAGATCGTGAAGTGAAGAAGAGACAAGAATGTTCCAGCTCAACTCAAAGGCTATCCATATTATATTTTGTGCTCTTGGACCGGATGAATACGTGAGAGTTTCATCTTATACAACCACCAAGGAAATATGGGATAAACTGCAAGTCACTCATGAAGGCACAAACGAGGTAAAAGAATCTAAAATTAGTCTTTTAACTCATAGCTATGAAAATTTCAGGATGAAACCGGATGAAGATATCAAAGCTATGACAGATAGATTTTCCATGATTGTCAATGGTCTCAAGTAATATGGAGAGATCATTCCAAACGAGAAGCTTGTGAGGAAGTTAGTTTACTCTCTTCCGAAAGCCTGGCAATCAAAGAAAACGACAATAATCGAGGCTAAAAATTTAAAGTCTTTAACTCTCGAAGAGTTAATTGGTTCACTCCTCACTCATGAAATGATGCTTCAAGATGAGGTATACCTCAAGAAGATTGACGAGATAAAGAAGAAGAATGAGAAAAAGAAGCATGTGGGAATTGCTCTTAAATCTATAAGAGAAGAGAGTGACTCGGATGAAGATGACGAGGAAATGACATTATTTGCAAAACGGTTCAAAAAATTGATGAAGCCCAACCGAGGAAGAAAATTCAAATGAAATAAAGGTTTCAAAAATAAATCGAAGGAGAAAGACCCTATCATTTGCTATGAGTGCAAAAAGTCGGGTCCTGTCAAATATGATTGCCCACAATTGAAGAAGAATGGACAATCGAAGAAAAAACACAAGGCTCACGTTGCTACATAGAG